CGGGGCACCGCCACAGCCCCCGCCGCCCCCCCGTACCTGAGGCAGCAAGGCCGAGGGGGAAGAGGCGGGGGCCACCGGCGCCCCGCTCAGGGCCGGAGGTGGAGGAAGCGGCCCCGGCGGGCACCGCAAAGACCCCACGTCGCTGCCAGGGAGGCCTCTGCCCCCCGGCCTGGCCGCAGCCGCCCGGAGTCCGGTAACACGCCGTGAGGCGGGCGACGTTTTGTTGTTGCGCAGCCCCCACCGCCGCTGCCGCCGCCGCTCCCTCCTCAGACGCAGCGCGACACTCGGCGGTGCTTTACAGCAGTCCGCAAAGCGCAGCCGCGCCGGCTGGCGCCCCGCCTCCCGTCAGGCAGCGCGGCGCCCCCTGCTGGGCGGAAGCGGCGAAACGCGGTCTGAGGGAATTGATGGAAACGGCAAAAATGGGTAAAAACCGCGGAAACCATTCGTCAAACAAGGGGAAAAGACTTGAAGGAAAGGCTCTACTTTGAAAAATGCCTCTCTCAAAAGAAGATGTATTTCAAGGGGCAGAAAAAAAGAAAGATTACTCGGCAAAGGAACACCCAAATAGGTCAGAAAACAGAGAGACAAAGCGCAAAAGGTGCCAGACCATGCAAATGATATGAAAATAAATGGTTTTCCAGCTTCAGGCGTAACACTAGAGCAAAGGAAAAACCGAGACCCACATACAGCAGAGGCGACGTCGTGTGGCTCGAGAACCAAACCAGTAATTCCTCTCGGCTTCCCAGAGACACACGCACAGCCCACCCAGCATTAACTGCCTGCCGCCCTCTACACAGTTTGCTTGGCCTTTATTTTTTAAATCAAGGAGTTCAGTACTCAGTGACATTGGGGCCCATCTTAAATAACGACTGAAACACGGGAGAAGAATAAAAATTAGAAACACAACTAAACCACCGGATGGGAGACGGCAAGGGGCACCGGAAAGAAGGTTGTCACCCACGACTCGAATGTGTAAGCAATTTTAATATTTTTCATTAATGACTAGAAACAAAGTTGAAAATCATTAATAAAAATCTGCCGGGAAAAAAAATAAAAATAATGTAAAAATAAATGTCAAGATAATACATGGGAAGAACTGAATGACCTTGAAGACCTGAGAAACAGGAGCAAGGCGTAAAAAAAGTGGAGTCAAATAAAAAGAATGTGCACTCAAATGTAAATGACTATAAGTTTTGGTGTATATTGAGTATTGGTCAGGTAGAAGGCAGTAGGGTGAGAATGTCACCAAACTATATAATTAAGAAAATGACCAACAGCCAAGAACATGATGTAGCCATGAAAAAAGCAAACAAGTCTGTACAGTATTTTAGTCTAAGTATTTTTCAGAGAGAAGGAGAGAGATTTCAATGCAGCTATAAAAATTATTCCTGATGTCATCTTACAAATACTTTACCCAGTTGTTGTAATATGTATTCAGGGAAGATGAACTCTAATCTTAACAGGGCACTCAAGGGAAAATAGCAGATAAAATATCATAGGAAACTAATGAAATTCAGCTGGATTACTTTAAGAAATGAGACAGAGGAACGCCCTCTATAAGCTCATCAGAGGCTAATACCAATAAAAAAAAATAATACACCAACTAGTTATGCATTTACCTATTTACTTAATTGTTTTGAACATTCATACCAAAGATGACAGCAAGGTAGTTCTTAGCAGAGAAAACGTACACAGTGACTCTATGGTCACCAACTGAAAAATATACAAAGAGCATCTCAAAAACAAAAAACAAGGGGCTACAGAGTGGCTAGAAATTTCAGTTCACAAATCAGAAAGCAGTGCAGGGTAAATATAGATATTCTGGGTTTTCTCACAATGGAAAGCGAGAGTGGCCGGGTGATCTAGAAATGCTTTGTCTATGATTTAGTAAACCTTTCCTCCTTAGGAAAATTAAAAAAAGAAAAAAAAAGATAAAGGCAGAATGTGTAGGATCTTTACTAGCTGTATTTCCTAATTCCTGTTTCACTATGAGCTACCAGCAGACAAGAATCTAGTAATTTGTGGGCCACCTCATCGTTAAATGAACACTTGATAGAAATTAGTTTATCAATTATTGACTGGTTATTAACATAATTTTTAGAGAACAGTGATGGAGAAAATGCACTTCAATGCCTAGAATTTTCATAATTATTTTAAAACAGATGTGGGGTTTTTTTAAATTATTGTTAACTTCTATGTCCTTTGAAATATTTATTAAAGTTACTTCTGTTACTATTTTAGGATCTTGCAGAGATAGACAGTTGTCTTGAAAATATTTTACTGATTCCCTGGACAAAACTAAAGGATTCTCCTTTTCATACGTCTTAGCTACAGAAAACCAAAAGGTCAAATCGATTCATTCTAAAACACTAATGCAAATTTCAGAACTGCTTTCAGGTGTCATCAATTCACACTGAACTCTTCAACTTCTTCTTACTAGAGCTAAACAAAACCATTATATATGCGCACCCCAGGGCCTGGCAGAACTAAGGAAGTAGAGAAGAAACTATCTTATCTAGGATCAAAATAAAGCCAACTAGCAGGAGATTGCACTTTACATTTTTGGCAAAAAAAACAAAAATCAAAGCCAACCCCTATCCTGAGGTACCTTCAGCAGCTCAGCTTCAGAGTTGGACCCAGTTCCGTGCAGGAGCGCTGTCTGGGTTTGCTCACTCAGGAAGGAAAGCCAAGCATGGCTTTTCCAGATGCAAACATCAGCTTCTGGAACACAGTCCCACCGGGCATGTGGCCAAGCTGCACACTTTCCCAAAGGGATGTCTTTGCTCAGAGCGCTGTTAACTGCGAGCCTGGTAGTGCTCAGGGCTGCATGACCAGCACACACTTAGCAATCTCCTGCCTGTGTGCAGGAGTATGGACCTCCTGTCACAAATACTGCTTCTGCAGCAGCTCAAAGTCACTTGCAGCCAGAGTATTAGTCCAGATGAAACAGCCCGTCCTTGGTATTTACATCATACCTGGTTGTGTAGACTTAAAAATGGACCATACTTAAGCATACATTTAAATGTTTTTGTAACATCAATTTACAATTACTAGTAATATTAACAAACTGCAAAGCTTCTCATGGTAGTATGTTGTGAAAAATAAAAAAAAATAAAATCCAAAGCACAAACATTGTGGAATTTATATTCAGATGATACAAACTGTAATGGCTCCAATCAGTCCAGATGAAGGTCTTACTAGTGAAAACTGGAAAAATATGGAAGAGGATAAAAAGAATTTATTATGAAAAATTGCTAGTAGGAAACAAGAAAAGACGGATACATTTGCAGAGTCAAAAATAAAAACTGACAGTGGTTTGTGCTATATATTTTATGGAGATAAATACAGGAAATTTGCTAATGTGATTGCTCTAAGAGCTTTCAAAAGCTCTGGAAAATAACATGCACCACGCAGGTAATTGTATATTTTTAATATATAAGGAAGAACCAAATACTCAATATTACAGTAAAACGTAAATACAGGAATTACCCGCTCGTCACTCAATTAATTTCATATTGTACAGCCTGATGTGGCTTTGAAAAGTTAGAAACAGCATTTTCGCAACACGGTACTTCAGAAATTATGCAAATCCCAATTTACGTCTCAAGCAGTTAGATATTCTGAGTAAGATATTTTAAGTATTTAAGTTGTCATATAATTAAGAAGGTGTGGTATATATAATGACTTAGAAATAGCTACTTTGTTGGCAGTATTTTTAATGGGTCTTTTTCTTATCAAAAAACAAATACACCACCAACCTGTTAATAGAAAGATCACACAAGACACTCCTTTATATTCTTTCAGTGCTTGTACAATAATGGGGCCAAATGTGTTTTTGCATTTTAATGATGAATCAGCAGCTATTTTTAGGGCAATTAGGCTAAAACAAACACAAGCATCCTGCATTTAATGATCTGATTTTACGCTAAGAAATTCAATAGCCATTTCCTAGCACGTACATACACTTTCAGTAATAAAATAAAGAAAAATATATGTTTGATTTACAATTAGATTATGTTCTTCTCCTTGCTGTTGATGATGATTAGGGGCCTGGAGCCCCTCTCTCACAAGGAAAGGCTGAGGGACTTGGGTCGTCTTAGTCTGGAGAAGAGAAGGCTGAGGGGGGGGTCTGATCAACACCTATAAATTCTTAAAAAAGGAGGGTGTCAAGAGGAAGGGGCCAGTCTTTTTTCAGTGGTGCCCAGTGACAGGACAAGAGGAAATGGGCACAAACTTGTACACAAGAAGTTCCATCTAAACATGAGGAGGAACTTCTTCACTTTGAGGGTGGCAGAGCCCTGGAACAGGCAGCCCAGAGAGGCGGTGGAGTCTGTCTCTGTAAGACAGTTCAAAACCCGCCTGGACAAGTTCCTGTGCAACCTGCCCTAGGAGGACCTGTTTTGGCAGGGGGGTTGGACTAGGTGATCTCCAGAGATCCCTTCCAACCCCATATCATTCTGTGATTCTGTTCTGTAGAACAATTATAATGAGAGCTACTCAGAAATCAGAAACTGATTTCTACAACCTTCTTCTGACTGCTCATCGTACAGTATACCAATAATACATCAAAAAGAAAACTATTCATTTGGAGTGGAAAAAGCTATTTTTTACAGCAGCGATGCATCCTAAATTAGCAGTGATTCTTAATCTCAAAATATTATCAGGCATCCACTGAAAACATCTCAAATGGTATTATTCACTCTTGTTTTGTCTGCAGAGGAGAGAAATAGCAGAGCAAGCATACCAGCTGATACTTTTTAAACATAAGCTTGACTAGAGGTTTGAATACAGTCAGATTGGTATCAGGAATTACCAAAAGCAAAGTTTGAAATTGTAGTAACCAGGCAATGTAACATGAGAACCAGGACAAGACTCAGTGCCTTTCAAAGTAAAAGGGACTCTTTCTGTTGATTTCAGTTAACCTAGCATCAGCCCAATGTCTCTTTTTAAAAAAGGGTTAGAACCAAAAAGGAACTGAGTCATTGCATCATTTATTGCTGAAATAACTAGCTTTGATGTTGTCAGCACCCAAAGTAGAATCCAAAATACTGTATTAGAAACTTAGATTTCTGAAGCAAACAAACACAAGAGTGAAAAGACACACTGCAAAAATCAGTTTTTAAAGAACCAGTATGCTAAGTGGAGAACTGCATACAGCTTTGCTGATAAAAAGAAATGGCAATGTGTCTCAGATAAGCCAGGATCCTGTTTAAGTGTGGAGGTGACCTTCCAGGCCCCCCCTTTCCTTAAACGAAAGTCTCTTCTTTTTAGAAGGGGATATGGACAAATGGGTGTTAAGAGGAGAAAACTGGGACAGCCTGTTCAAGGCTGGGTGAATGCTCTAGACAGTCCTCCTTACCAAAAAAAAAAAAAAAAAAAGGGCAGGAAAAGTAAGATGTTTTAAAGATATTGATTACATTGAGTATCACTGCATTTTTACAGAGCCCAATCATGTTAAAACTTCACAGAGTATACCAACTCCATTAAGCTGTAAAAGAAGAAGAAACAGCTCGTGTTTGGTCCTCCATTACACCTCAGTGTGAGGCTGGCAATAGACTGGTCATCACTGTTGAAACTGGAATAATCTTCTATGCAGAAAAAAGCAAAATTACAAAGCCCAGCCAGAAACATTACAAATCTAAGGACATTCACAACTCTCACGTCATATACAAGACAGACAAAAACAAATTTACAGGAGCACAGTTTTGGACTTCTTTCTTGTCATTTAAATATGCATATCTGGGCCAAATATTTATCCTCTTTGAAAGTCTATTACCATTTCCTAATCAAACTTTACCACAAATTTCAGAACATAATGGTATTAAACAATCTTCTATTTGAAAACTAGTAGATGTTTCAAGAGATTACAAAAGAACAAATAGAGTATTTTACTTTAAAAAAACAAGCAACCCAACAGGAAATTAGAAACCAGCCAACTTAAAATTTCTGGACAAATCTGAAATATTTGTAGGTACCTGGAAAATAATGAAGTGATAAACAAAAAGCAACATGATTTATTCATTACAATCTATCAAACCAACCTAATTTCCATTTATGGTTCCACAGACATGAATGAACTGAAGAGCTTCAGTGAGGCTTTTGACATTCTGTTCCATTGACATTTTCAAAAGGAATATATGGAAATATAAGGAACTACATAAATCTGGTGCAAAACTGGCTGTACTCAGAGGATCACTATTAGTAGTTTACTATAAAACTGTACATTTATATAAAATAAAATTCCTTGTACACTTCAATATTGTAATATCTTTAGCTAAAGGCTTAAAGATAATACTTATAAACATGCAGCTGGCACCAGGCTGAGAGGTACTACAAAGAGCAGAAGTCAAGACTAGGTAGAGTTTGAAATCATTGCAGGGGGAGGGAATTCTGTAAACACAAATGTGAAGCTCTGCACTTAACAAGAAATAATCAACTGCACGGAAAAGAAATATTGTAATAAACTTGAAAAGAAACCAATAGATAGAGTGGCTCACAAGCAGAACACGTGAACGCGTTCATGAGGCTGAAAAAGGCATACATCCTACTGAGATGCAGAATCACAAGTGTTGTCACCAAAATAAATTTGAGAAGTTGTGGAAAGACTGAACATGAGCTAAAGGGGTGCAACAAGAAAAGGTCATGTGTTTCAGAACTCTGTTTCAAAAAAGGAAATAATCCATGCTTTTAATCAAAAAACAGTTTATGTAAAAGTATGCTGCAAAAGAAAGGGAACACTGTCCTTTATATTAACTTTGAATAAGAAGGCTAAATTGCAGAAAAAGGGATTTTAATCTAGACATTTGAAAAAGGATAGTTAAGGATTAGACTGCCTGAAGAATGAGTGGAATCTGTGTTTAAGACTTTAAGAACAGGTTAAGCAAACAGCTATCATGGTTGTTTTCATAACAGCTTACTGTGCCTTGAGGCAGCAGCATGACTGAAAATACCTCTTAAGGTCGCATTTGGCTCTGTTGGTTGGTTTTTTGGGGGTGGGTTATGTGTACAGCTTTGACATCTACCTAACATTAACCAACAAGCAGTGAGGTTTAGGCAAGTCAAGCAACCCCTATAAAACAGTGTGAGTGCTGCATTTGTTAGCCCTCTCATCTTCCTCCTGAAATTGGACATTGTAAACTTGTCTTCACTAATACTAGAACCTAACCAGTGGGTTTTTTGTGTATTTTGTACAACAGTTTACCACAGTAAGACAGACAGCTATGATTTGGACTTTGTTGCACCACTGGATTCAAAATAATATGCAAATGAAATACATTTAGGACTTTTTCATGCACTGTTTAAATATTACATGAACACTCATAAAAATTGGTTTCTGTAGTCTAAACTAAAGAGTTCATTTATTAACCTCAAAGTCAATCTTAATGTATTTGATGTTAATGCAAATGTTATTGCAGAAGATAAATAAGAAATTAATATATATTCTTGCTTATTCTAAGATTGTTGTTTTCATAACATTCTGGTACCACGTGCAACAGCAGCATTATATATCTAAAACATACATGCAACTATCAGTTCAAACTGTGTTTTCTTTTAGACTTTTACATATGCTTAACTTTTAAATACATGGATATTAGTCTTTGTTAACCGATAACTAGTTAAGCAAAGTATTATTTAAATACTTTAAGTGCACTTGGAAAAGAAAGAAGATGGTGTTACAAATGTTTGTAAGACCCAGGATTTCATTTGCACAAAAGACTGTTTAACCAAGATTTACTAAATAAAACTAACATTCATTTTTTCAATTTAATCAATATGCAATTTCTGAATGAAGAGACAGAACAAGATGATTGTTGTGACTTAACCTGGATTAGACATATTTAGATTTACAGATTCTGCCTTGTTTGAAGATTTAGTAACAGCTGTAGCATCTAATACTGACAAAATAACTTTGAGTGTTCCCTACAGAAAGTGAATGAAATGGTAGCTAAGGGGTAACAACTTCCATTATCTGGTAGAAATACAGCCTAATAAATCATAACAAAATGTACTTTATTTGTTAACAATTTAAAACGCTAGTATTGTAGAATACTTCTAAAATACTGCCAATAAAAAACTTATGCAAATAAATCTAATTCTTCCTAGACTGTTCATTCTCTAATCTTTAAAATTATTGGAACTACTGGTTAAAAGAACTACTGTTTCACCTGAGTAAAATCAGCACCAAATATTTAAGCATATTTCCCAAGCTCTGAGAAGTCAGAGCAAGCCAGAAGGTACAACCCAAGTTATTAATACGAACGGAGAAGCACAGATAATATGTAAATAGACATTTTACTTTTATTTGGGAAAATTTAAAATAATCAAAGAATTATTGTGACACGAATCCAACGAAGGTTTCGGGCCAAGCGCTAACGAACCGAAACAGCAGACAGGTAGCTTTCAGAAGCCCAAAAGCGAGACCCCTCTCCCCTCCAGCCCCTCCGCCGGGACCGGCAGCCGCTCCCGGCTCCGGGAAGGCCCGGCTGCAGCCTGACACGGCCCGGCCCGGCTCCAGCTCACCTCCCGGCTGCCCAGGCACACACACGCAACCGCCGCGCACTCTTATTACGCGCTGTTTTTTTCCTAAACAGGCCCACAGCTGCAGAAAGTCTTCCAGCAACAGCTTTCAAGAGAAACCGGCCACAGTTACCGCCGTGCTTCCTCGGGCCGCCCCCGGCCCAGCAGCCGGCAGCGCATCCCCGCCTCAGCGCAGGCCCCACACCTCCCACCAGGTCCGGTCCGGCCCAGCCCCGCCGCCGCCCGCACCGCCCCGGGGCACCTCATGGCTCTCGGCGCCGCTCCCTGCAGACAGCGGGAGCCCGGCCC